CCAACAGACACCCTGCGGCGTAGCACAGGCATTATTCTGGAGAGCTTCACCTTTCTGCTGCACCGACCCCAGCAGAGTTCAGTGCCACTTTCCTCCGAACAAAAGATGGAAGTGTCCACAATCCTGAAAGAGGGAAGTGTCCACAATCCTGAAATTTTCATAAAGGGAGGCAGTATTGGCACAGATTAGCAGAAGCCTCTGCTTTTCCCCAGCATCTGAACTAAACTAAGAAGTGTGGTTAGCAGCACAAGCAAGCCACTTAACAATCTGGCTGCCATTTATCAGTAGAGAAACACAGAACTTCGACAGGTCTCAGCAAAAGCAAAAGTAATGATTTTGTACATGCTATCCAGCTGGGTAGGATCTACCCTACTAGTCAGCACAAGAAGATTCTATTCTCAAACTGGGATTTAAAAAAAAAAACAAAACCACAACACAATATATCTGACTGGCTGTTGGTAGAACATACAACTCTTGTTCTCAGGGTTGTGAGTTCAAGGCCCACACTGGCACAGAGCTTACTTTAAAAAACAAACAAACAAACAAAACCACACTATATCTCATTTTCTACCTCATTCCCATTTTACAGTTCAAAACCATGACCAGCTGTAGTTAAGCAACTTGTCCAAACCATCATTACACACTCCTGTACCACAACCCCCCTTTGATATCAGAGTACTTATCAGTATCCCACGATATCCAGTGTACTCCCTTAGAACCACCTGTGTGTCTTACTAAGCTCTAACCTATTTGCAAAGCAGAAGCTATCCTAGTCACGCTCAATAAATACTTGTTAAACAAGAGGGAATTCCTTGACCCTCAGCACTAGTAATTCTTCTCATTAATTCCACAAACGTGTATTACAGATTAAACACCTACTGTGTGTCAGGCCCACTTCTAGGTACTTGTGTACATGTTGAAGATAAACATCAAGAGTCTCACAAACGTATACAGAGGAGACAGACTTGAACTTTGAGAAGAAACACAGAATGCTCAGGGAGCTGGGGACGGTGGGAGCTGGGGATGGTGGGTGGGTGGTCGAATCCAGTCTTCGTGTCCAGTATAGATCACTGGACCAAGTGACCGCTCGGCTGAGAAATGATGGAGGGGGACGTGCAGCGGGAGAGAGGAAAACAAGACATCAGTTAAGGGTAAAGGCCCCTGGGTGGGAGACCCAGCTGAAAGACTCCGGTCGGCCAGCCTTTAATGTTCCAGAACCCAGATAACAAGCGTAGATGGGAGCTTCTTCAATATGAGTGATTCTGAATTTGATGAACAGAAAATAGCTAACTTTAAAATGAGAAATAATCATCCTTCCAGTTCATTATTATGCTCTCGGAAGTGAAAAAATTAATCTAGTGCCGTGGTTCTCAAGCTTGACTTCACATTAGAATCTTCTAAGCATTGGGGTGCCTGGGTGGCTCAGCGGATTAAACCACTGCCTTCAGCTCAGGTCATGATCTCAGGGTCCTGGGATCAAGTCTCGCATCAGGCTCTCTGCTCAGCAGGGAGCCTGCTTCCCCTTCTCTCTCTGCCTACTTGTGATCTCTCTCTCTGTCAAATAAATAAATAAAATCTTTAAAAAAAAAAAAAAAGAATCTTCTAAGCATTAACAAACAAACAAATAAAAAACACCCATGGTTTGACCCCCAGCCAATGAGTCAAAATCTTAGAAGGTAGGGCCCACATATTGGTATCTTTTAGAGGCTCCTTAGGTCATCCTAAAGTACAGCCAAAATGGCTAAAAGCAGCAACTGAAAAGGAAAAGAACACCAGCTGTCCTCTGGTCTCATCCTGAAATGACCCCTCAGCTTCCCACTGGCTGACTTCTGTCAATCAAACCTTAGTCTAAACATTATGCCTCTTCAAGGCGCCCCCTGACCGACTCTGAAGGAGCCACACCTCCTAAGTATTTACCACATCACACAGGGCTTATTCCTGTCTGATTATCTGTCTTCTTTATTAGCTTGTCGTAGGTCCTGGAGTCTAGGGATCTGGCCTGTGTTGCTCACTGCTGCACTTCCAGTAGGAGTGCAGTCAGTATTATGTGAATGAAGGAAAAAAACGACAGGTGGGCATAGGGGTATCTCTTATGCAAATGGAATTTTAAAAAATAATACCCTAAAGCTATAATTCTGACAAATTTCAGTTGGTATGATTAAGCCAAATGACTGAACAGTATGGAGAGCACTTTTTAATTCTTACGTAACAACTAGCTATGAGCCAGACTTCTATTTCCAAGCAGAGCTCAACCTAGGAGGGAGACTAAAGAACACTGGGCATTTGGTCTGGACTGAAGTCAACGAGGCGGAATAAAAAGTCTTCATATGGAGAAAGGAGTAATGAAAATATGGTCAACATTTCTATGAATAACAACAACAACAAAAAAGAAACAGGATAAAATACAGAGCAATTAAGATTTTAGCTTAGGCATAAGGAAAAACTAAGGGAAAAAGCCTGTAACACTAACGTGACCAATACAGATGGGAAGAAAAAGTGAAATTTCTCCAAGTTCCTAAAATTGGGATAAAAATACTTCTGTTCAGAAGGGGTCATGCACAAGTACACAAATATACAGGGTGAACGAATATATAGCGTGGCTAGACTTTTCTTCTGAGTGTTATTATTGTACTACAATACCTAGAGCATTTGAGTTTCCTATCCTGAATTTATTTAGATCTGGTACCACAAAAATGAGCTCGGAGGAGAAAACACTAGTAAAAACAGTACCAAGTAAGTATTTTTGAGAAAAGAGAAATATAGTCATGCTTTTCTTTCCACAGAGTATAAATGTCTAGACCTATCAACTAAATTAATAATTCAGGCATAAAGGAACTATTTGAAGGATTAAATTCACAAGTTACGTACAATGTACACTTAAATATGGGATTAAATGCCAGCAGGACACCTTGACCAGAAGACTTGGGCCGTGTCAGCATAAAACCAGCAAGACAGTGTATATCACTCTTCTTTCAGAGCCAACTTTGCTTCTAGGACCCATAGTTCTAACAGTGGAAGCGTCCCTTCCCCAGACATTCAGCACCTGACCTCAAAGCTCTAGAAATACTTTTGTTCATTCCCACATTTAGTTAATCAACAAGTTTTGTGGATTATTCATTTGCACAGGGGGAAAAAAAAGAGGGGAAATTTATGGATTAAAAAGATTTACAAGACATACCAATCAAATGTACAGACTCTGCGCGGGTTGTAAGTCAAACAAACTGTAAAAAAATATTATGAGACAATCAGAAAATATAAGCACTGACTGGAGATAGAGGAGGATATTTAGAAATACTGTTAATGCTTTTGAGGTGTGATGCTAAGACTATATTATGTTTTCCAAATGCTCTTATCTTTTAGAAATACCCGTTAAAAGATGTACAGACAAAATGGTATTCTGGGTTTGTTCCAAAATAATTCAAAAGATGATGGAGGTAGGAACAGGGCTGAAAGGACAGATGAAACACGAGGACGACCGCAAACCACTGCAGCTGGGTTATGGGTACAAAGGGGTTTGATTACACTTTTCAATCTGGTTTATGCTTTTAAAATACCCATAACTTTTTAAAAAAATGGTAATTTATACATATGAATATGTTCTTTGAGTTCCACATGCCATGCTCTTGGCTCTGAAACCTTCAATGACTCCCAATGGCATAAATACCTCAGAATAGCTTTCGAGTCCTTCAGTTCCCCCCCCTTTTTTTTTTTTAAGATTTTATTTATTTATTTGACAGAGATCACAAGTAGGCAGAGAGGCAGGCAGAAAGAGAGAGAGGAGGAAGCAGGCTCCCGCTGAGCAGAAAGCCCGATGCGGGGCTCGATCCCAGGACCCTGAGATCATGACCCGAGCCGAAGGCAGAGGCTTTAACCCACTGAGCCACCCAGGCGCCCCAGTTTCCCCCTTTTTTATATGACTATGTCACAGGCAAGGTCACCGGCAAATCCTTACTTGTCTGCTCCTTCTCTTTGACCTGTATTTCCCCATCTGCCTACTGGACATCAGGCCACTTACCCAAACCATTATCCTGATCTGTTCTCATATAGAATACTCCCAATCCTAACAAGATAACAAGTTTTAAGAAGAAGATTGATGTTTACATCTTTTTGCCTCTTCAGAACTGAAAACAGCATTCTAAGTTGAGCAAAAGGTGTTCTGTTCCTGTTTTTAAGGTGGGCAGGATGTGGGGAACCTGCTCCTTTACACTGCTCTGTAGTTTTTACATACAGTAGGCTGCTAATCCTTAGAGAACATCAAAGAGTTTAATTAAAGACAGTCAAAAAGGTAAAACTTTTTTAAAAGGGAAATTCTGACATACAGTTAAATCTCACAATAATACAATAAATTACAAAGTCAGAGTAGTAAAGGCTGTGGTTCTCACTATAGAAAGCTTCATTTCTGAGGCAGCAAAGTGATTTCCTTAATTAACCCATTCGTCATGCCTTCAGAGCCCAAGTCCTATATGCCCTGAGACAAAAATCATATTAAGGATTCATTTTTCTTTGATAAAAATCTTACAAACATTTGCATTATTGTTACTATTTTTATTATTGAAAATACCTCACTGCTTACATTGAGCTCCAGTTTTTCTGGACTGTGACTGGGTCTAAAGGAAACAAAGCTAAAATGGAAGGGAGGGAGGAAAAATGGAGGGTGGGGAAAGACTTAGGATGCACCCAGACAAGGAAGACTCCTAGTGGGTGTACTGTGCTACCCCATGTAAGCAGGGCCCTACTGAATATTCTAGAAGAGCCTGGATCTCTGTATATTTGGTTTGTTTCCACAGATCAACCTGTAGTAAGCAAATATTAAGTGTCTATGTGGCCAGCACTGTTTCAGGCAATGAACAAGCCAGATTCCATGAAGTTTAAAACACATTTAAAAATAATTCATTATATACATTGTAAATATGTAAGTGAGTTAATATGATGAGAAACCATGAAAGTATTCATGTCAACGAACTGCATCTCGAGCAGACACACATGAAAATCAGCTTTACCTTGTATTTCATCTTGGGACATGAATGAATGTAGAAACCCATATAATAATAGCTGAGTTGAGATGTTTTCTGATGAAGTTGCCTAGTAAAACCAATTTCTCTGCCAAAAGAAGAATAAAGATGAAGGTACAGTTAAATCTAGGTCCAATACTCAAAGTATATGTAATTTCATGTCAAATATCTGATAAAATCCTAAAAACCAATTGCTAAGCTATTAAGGAACTTCAAGTGTTGAAACAGAAAAACTTTAGAAAATACTTTAAGATAGCTTTTACTAAAAAGACATAAACAACTCTAAATTATTTGAGCAAATGCATCTAAGTTCACATTTTATACTTTATTGAGCATATTAGTTGATCTGAAATTCAAACAGCATAAAAATAGATCTATTTAATATGTTACGCATTATCCCCTTGAGTTCGCAAAATGCTGTGTTTATCAAGTGAAAAACAGTGCAGCAAGTTTTATAAAACTGAAAAACCAACACGTTTCAGGAAGAATGACTATTATGACCATTAACATGCAAACACCTGCAACAGCATATGATGTATAACTCCTTCCTACATCTAGATGCTACTCTAACATTTATTCTCCCTAAAACTAAAGAGTGGAAAAAACTATGCTATCTCACCACTTTTTCTCTTTTTGTTGGCATAGGCAAGGATTAACTGAACAAAGACACTGTCAGCAATGCCCATGCTTGAAGTGGTTTTAATTTGCATCCGGATAAATCTGGGCACAGAACTTCATCTCACTTGCCCACATGAATGACTACTTGTATTTGAGAGTTTTAAGGGAACTTTAGTACATTTCTAAAGTAGGAGAAAAGTTGCTTGTTTCGTTTTTATGTTTCTTGAAGGCTTTCTTTTTCTTTCTTTCCTTCCTTCTTTCCAATGAATGCTTGAAATTCAAGGAGAAATTTTTTAAGTGAATAGTCTGTGCATTTTGCAAGTTCAAATTTAAATCACTGAAGGCCTGTGATCCTACAAATTCATCTGGAAAATAACAGTATTTCTAAATCCAAGCAGACTGAACATTATTAGCCTGTAACAGAATAACTCCCACTATTCCTAGAACGAATCCACTTTCAAGGTTCAAAGGGAGGAAGAAAGCACTGATAGGACCAATGCAGGACCACCCACGGCTGAGCACCGCACTCCTTCCTTTGGTCTTGCATTGCCCCTCTGCTCCTCAGTTATCCAGCCCAAACCTAGAACCATCCTTAACTGTTCTTCTCCTCTCACTCTCATGTCCAATCCGTCAACAGGTCCAGCTGGCCCCATCTCCAAAATACACCCTGAATCTGACCACTTCTCACTACCTCCATCTCAGCTATTCTGGTCTAAGCCGGCATAATGGTTCCCCTGGATGACTGTAACAGCTTCCTGACTGGCTTTCCAGTTTCCACTCTTGCCCCTCTATAAATCCCACGGAGTGGTCTAAGTCATTTTTTACAGTATGAATCAGATCAGGTAACCTCCCCAAACCCTAGGCCTTCGAAGTGCGTTGGTATCACACATAGATAAAATCAAACCTCCCTACCATGACCTATCAAGTGCACCTCCCTCAGCCCCTCCTCACCAGTGCCTCCTGCATCTCTGCCCTCCCTGCTCAGCTCCTGTCTAATTCCTACTCCCATCCCAGCCTGACCACCTCAGATGCTGTACTACCCATACTTATACCCTTAGATTTTTATTCACACACTTGAATACTTTACTTTTTCTTGGCTCCTCAAATGTCACCTGTCCAGAGAGGTCTTTCCTGACCACCCTATACAAGAAGGACCTCATGCCTACCACCGTGATTTTATTTTTGTCACAGTATAATGGAATATTTAATGGAGTATTATGTTGGCTTCTAATTTACTGTCTGCTTTGACAAAGCTGGAAACCCTTACTCATTTCTATGAAATGTGTCCAGGATACATAGGTTCTTATCAAATAAACATCTGTTAAACAAATTAATTCATTTCTAAAATTTATCTTGCTAACAAAACATAAATAAATGCCACACTCATGATCCCTAATTCAAACATTTTTTTTAAACCTACGGACTAGGTTATATAAAAATCTGTATTAATTATAGATTAAAATATAAAAACCATATTCACTGTACAATTGCTTAAGAAATTAAAGAAATGGAGGGAAACTAGCTAAACAGATTTCACTGAAATACATTATAATCAATAACAGAACTGGCAATTTATAGCCTATTCTCCCCATTCTTGCTTGAAAATATCAATCTCCTGGTTGCCTTTCCTCTTCTAGAAAACTCAGCAACTCATATTCTCAAGACACTAAAAGGAAATGACAAGACTATAATGCAGAGGCAATAGCTTTCAGGCTCCCAGGCTCCTCTGTTGCTTCCTCAAAGCTCTTCAGCTCTAGAACTTCAAGAGACATACCAAAGCAATAAATAAAACTCTTATTAATTTTGCTGGGAATTGTATATTTACTATCTTGAATGCAGTAGGATTTCAATATCCCTTGGTTTATTGAGATATGAAATGATATGTCATATACAGGTTGGGATTCACTATGTGGTTATATAAATATTCTCGATATTTACCTGAGAAGTCTAAACAAATCCAAGGATACACACTGTAAAGTGACAAATATAAAAACAAAACAAGAAGGAAAATGGCAATACTTTCAAAGTGTTCGCTGATTTTTGTTCAAAGAAAAAAGTAGTTTTTCTGAAATAAATATATACTTCTAAAGTTACAAAATGTAAATGCTTCAAAGTATCAGTTCCAATATCATTGATGTCATAAGTGTCATGAATATTCTTAATTAGTGTATACACAAATGCAATTAAATACATAAGAAAAAGAAAAATTATTACAGAGTTCAGTTATAAACACTGTATAATTGTGAATCTGCTCTAACTTGGCATTAGGAGACATGTCAGGTTGAAAGTACCTAGATGGGATGGGGCGCCTGGGTGGCTCAGTGGGTTAAACCTCTGCCTTCAGCTAAGGTCATGATCTCAGGGTCCTGGGATTGAGCCCCACATCGGGCTCCCTGCTCAGCAGGGAGCCTGCTTCCCCCTCTCTCTGCCTGCCTCTGCCTGCTTGTGATCTCTCTCTCTCTCTCTCTGTCAAATAAATAAATAATATCTTTAAAAAAAAAAAAAAAAGAAAGTACCTAGATGGGGAATTTTTCTTTATATTACAGACCACTGAAACACACAAAAGCAATCATGGGCCAGATTTTTTACAAAAATCAAATGGAGATTAAAGAAAAATACCAACTCTTCCACTTTTATAATTCAGAAAAAAGCACATACACAACAAATAAATAATCTCAAAACACATCTTCCCAAGATGTGAGAATGTGACCACTGCACAGAGACTGAGAAACGAGAAAACAATGACACCATGAGAAAGAAAGAAAGTCTCAAGGTCCCAGACAAGCAACAGAAAAATAATTTTCAATCCTCCTTCCCTTCTCTACCACATATATATGCAGACAAGAAGGAATAAAAATAGAACAAGTATTTTTCAAAGAATAAGGCCCTAATCTTTTTACCATGAGGATAATGCAAAGTATCTGCGCTATGCTGTGTACATTTGCAGCCGTGGACATAAAAGAGAAATAATCTTTTGGTGAGAGCCACAGAATTAAGTGCACAGGTAGGGCCTTCTAGTCCTGTTCTATATACTTTCTATCATTATATAAATCTTTCCAAAAGACTCACATTACTTACACGAGATTCATTTAACCTTTAATTATGAAAAAAATATATACAACAATGACAAAAATATGTAAATACTATAATATTTAAGGAACATTAAGTTGTTCCTGATAGAGGAGCTTAAATAAAGGCACAAACAAAAAACACCCCACAAATACAGTGACTTGTCCTATCCTAGACGAGATGATAACTTAAAAAACTAGGGAATTAGCATCAGACATTGGCCTCAGTTCTAAAAGCGGTATTCTAAACACCAATATGTAACAGATTACTATAGCAACAAATATGCACTGTCATATAGGATTTCTGCCGTTACATGATGAACTCTAATCAAATGAGGAATTATCTGAAGTTCCACATGACCCATTACCGCTGTCAAAAGTAATCTTACCGTAGTGCGGAGTAGACACCCAAAGACAGGAATGAATAATCAGGATCATAGTACAAATAGACAGAAGATACACAGTATGGAAGGATGTCAATCACTCCCACAGCAATGATTCTTCCATCAAGCCAGTACTGCTGGTGAAAGGAGCCATAACCACAATCTGGTCCATGAGGGGGGTTCTCAGCCTGTTGAGAAAACAGATATACACATGAACATTTTGTTTTTATCTTTATATTAAAAATCTTAATAATTACCTAATATACTTTTATTTTCCTTCGTGACTACTAAAATTTCCCATGTTGCCATCATCCTCTGCAGTCACACCTTATAAAACTTTTTACTTGTATAAACACTGACCGAGGGGCGCCTGGGTGGCTCAGTGGGTTAGGCCTCTGCCTTCGGCTCAGGTCATGATCTCAGGGTCCTGGGATCGAGCCCCACATCGGGCTCTCTGCTCAGCAGGGAGCCTGCTTCCCTCTCTCTCTCTCTGCCTGCTGTTCTGCCTACTTGTGATCTCTCTCTGTCAAATAAATAAATAAAATGTTTTAAAATAAAAAAATAAATAAATAAATAAAATAAAATAAACACTGACCGAACAAAAGCATGAGAAAAAAGAAATAAGCTTAAGATTTTTTTAACTTGTTTAAAAAATATAACAGTAGGAAACATAAATTTCACAGGATAAATAAATATTAAACTATATTTTTCTGTTCCACATAAAAGTTGGGAAAGAAATGGTGTACAAGTGAAGATGGAGAATATAAAAGGAGAGGGATGGGTGAGAACAGAGCTGCCCCCATACTGCCAGCCAGGCCTAATCTGTGATGAGCCCACACTGATAAGGCATAGGATCCCATTATTTTTTTCTAGGTAAGAGTTCCTATGTAAATACAAAAGGGCTATAAGACTTTCCCTTTCTGGCCTAAAGAAAATAAAGTTATTTCCTTACCATTATCTTAATTTAACTATAATCCCAGCGACATTTTTCATTTTAAAATTCAATACGATTTTTTTAAAGATGTTTTTATTTACTTTTAGAGAGAGAGAGAAAGAGCAGGTGGGGGAGTAGGAGAGGAGCAGAGGGAGAGGGAGAGAATCTCAAGCAGACTCCCTGCTGACCATGGAGCCTGATGGGGGAGCTCAATCTCACAACCCTGAGACACTGTGACCAGAGCCAAAACCAAGAGTACGATGCTCAACCTGACTGACTCACCCAGGTGCCCCTAAAATTCAATCTGATTTTAAATATAACTGTTCCTAAATGAAAATCATAAAACAAAAATTATGACACATCATAAAATAATGCTTTGCTAGAGACTAAATAGGCATTTTAGAGATTAACAATTTAAGTGAACAAATACAACAGAATATGTATATCATTTTCATACAGCTAAAATCACAGATAGTACATATGGACAAAAGTAGATGAGAATGAAGAAAAATGAAATAAGTTGGCCTACTAGTATTAAAACCAGAAAAAAAAATAAACACTACAAGATAGGAAATCTACCGATCAGTATCTCTCAAAACATAGGTATAAAAAACTCTCACCAAAGTATCAGTAAATCAAATCCAAAAATGTATAAAAAGAATTATATATGTAAGTGACAAAGTGGGATTTATTCCAGGTACAGAAGGCTGGTTCAACATTAGAAAAGTAATTTTTTTAAAAAGGCAATTAATGTATTCTATCATGAAAAGAGGCTAAAGGAAAAATCCTATGATATATCAATTGACGCAGAAAACACCTCTGACAAAATCTAACATCCATTCATGACTAGAAACAAACTAGGAAGAGAAAGGAATTTCATCAACTTGGTAAAGAATATATATACCAAATCTACAGCTGACATTATACTTAATGGTGAGAAAATGGATGCTTTCCCAATAAAATCAGGAACAAGGCTATGATACCTCTCTTAACACTCCTATTCAACATCATAATGGAAACCCTAGCTAGTGTAATAAAAAGGAAATAAAAGGTATAAAGATTGGGAAAGAAAAGAATAAAACTGTCCTTATTCACAAATGACATGATTTACTATGTAGAAAATCCAAAGAATCAATAATAAAAAATGGAAATAATAAGCAATTATAGCAAGGTCACAGGATACCGAGTCAACAATCTAAAGAAATTTGCTTTACTATTTACTAACTATATTACACGTATACTTATATTTATACTTACTATTTACTATTTACTAGCTATAACTAGAATTTGAACTTAACCCAATACCATTTATAAAACCAAAAAAATTACATGGCTAAGTACAAATCCAACAAAATATGTGTAGACTATATATGCAGAAAATTCTGACAGAAGGAATCAAAGAAGAGGTTAGCTAAATTGAAAAATATTATATGCACCTAGATTGGAAGACTCATTCTTCCCAAGCTGGTTCACAGATTTAATATGATCCCAATCCAAATCTCGCACATTATTTTGTGGATATCAACAAATTTATCTAACATTTATATAAAAAGGCAGAAGACCTAGAATAGCCAACATAATACAGAAGAACCAAGTTGAAGGTCTAATGCTACCCGATCAATAAAGTTGGGGCGCCAGAGTGGCACAGTCGGTTAACAGTCTAACTTTTGGTGTCTTCTCAGGTCATGATCTCAGGGTCATGAGACAGAGCCCTGTCCAGGCTGGGCTCTGCACTCAGTGCAGAGTCTGTTTGAGATTCTCTCTCCTTTTTCTTCTCCCTGCCCCTCCTCCTTGTATACTCTTTCTCTCTCTAAAATAAATAAATCTTAAAAACAAAAACAAAAACAAAAAGACTCACCAGTAAAGCAATGAAGCTACAATAGTCAAGACAGGGTGATCCTGGTGAAAAAACAGGTAAGTAGAATGGTGTAACAGAACAGAGAGCACAGAAATAGACCACATAGGTATGGGTGACTGACCTCTGACAAAAAAGCAAAGACAGTTCAACAGAGAAAGGACAGTCTTTACAACAAATGATGCTGTAACAACTGATACCCAAATGCAAAAAAATCTAAATCTAGACACAGACCTTACATCTCTCAAAAATATTAGCTTAAAATGCACCATAAGCCTGAATGTAAAATGCCAACTTCTAGATGATAACAAAGGAGAATATCTATATTCTATAAAACTTCTAGATGATAACAAAGGAGAATATCTAGGTGACCTTGGGTTTTGCAATGAGTTTTCAGAGATGATGCCGGAAGCACAATCCATGAAAGATATAACTGGCAAGATGGCCTTCATTAAAATTAAAAACTGCTTTGGAAAACACACTATTAGAAGAATAAAAAGTGAAGCTACTGACTGGAGAAAGCTGTGACACATGTATTGGATAAAGGACTGGTATTCAAGAAAAGAAAGACCAAAATTCAACAGTAAGAAAACCAACAGCCCAGGGGCGCCTGGGTGGCTCAGTGGGTTAAAGCCTCTGCCTTCAGCTCAGGTCCTGATCTCAGGGTCCTGGGATCGAGCCCCGCATGGGGCTCTCTGCTTAGCAGGGAGCCTGCTTCTTCCTCTCTCTCTTTCTCTGCCTGCCTCTCTGCCAACTCGTGATCTCTGTCTGTCAAATAAATAAATAAAATCTTAAAAAAAAAAAAAACCTTTAAAAAAAAAAACCAACAGCCCGATTAAAAACTGAACAAAGTACCTGAGCAAACACCTCTCCAAAGGAGAGGTACAGGTGGCAAATAAGCATTTGAAAAGACGCTCGACATCATTTGTTAGGGAATGGAAAAGAAAAACAATGAGATAGTATGAACCAACTACTGGACTGGCTGAAATCCAAAAACCTGAGTATTAAATACTGGCCAGGATGCGGGACAAAAGGAAACCTCCTTCCCTGATAATGGAATGTAAAATGGTACGGACACTTTGCGGACGATGGTTTGGGAGTTTCTGACTAAACTAGATATGGTGTTACCATATAACCCAATAACCACATTCATAGGTATTTATCCAGTTTGTCTGAAAACTCAGATCACACAAAAACCCACAAGCCTGCATGCAAATGTTCCTAAGAATTTTATTCACAATTACCCAAGCTGGAAGCAAGTAAGATATCCTTCAGCAGGTGATAGACAAATCATGGCACAGGGAATACTATTCGTCGATCAAAAGAAATGAACTATCAAGTCACAAACACACAAAATGAAGAAACCTTAAGTACATCCTGCTAAGTGAAAGATGACAGTCTGCAAATGCTACCCACAAGCATTCCAAATATATTCTGTAAAAGGCAAAACTACGGAGACAGCGAAACGATCGATGGTGGCCATGAGTGCGCGGGGTGAGTAGCTGAGGCACAGGGACTCACAGGGCGACACTCTTCTCTCTGATTCTGTCCTGGTGGACATGTGACATCATGCTCGGAGCAAAACTCAGAACTGTATGACACAAAGAGTGAGCCTTGATGGATGCAAACCAAAAGAAAATCATTTCGGAGGTGAGGGGATCCCAGGAAGGAACAGAAACACGACAAGAGAATCTAACTGTATCACAAATGTAAGAAGCGGCTCTTTACACTCATTACATTTATATTCATATTCAGATTCGTCACAAATGTCTGGAAGTGGCTGGGAGGGGAAAGGTGTTGACCTCAGTAACCTTTGGGTCCAGAAGAATGAGGGTGAAAGTAAATCTGCCATAAGCACTGTATTCTGCCTGATAAAGCCGTTTTACATGAGACTACAGGTTAACAATTGATACATTGATAACATTGATACACGTCTCCTGTAAATGGATGGAGGTTTCTCACTATTGGGAGTGGGAATTTACAGATAAGTAAGATAAAATCCATGGGGTAATAGATTAGAATCCGGGACTGGAGTCCCCACTGTATTAAGCTCAACTGTTTAGGGACGCCTGGGTGCCTCAGCTGGTTAAATGTCTGCTTTCAGTCATGATCCCAGGGTCCTGGGATACCAGGGTCATGGGATCGAGTCCCACATCGGGTTCTCTGCTCAGCGGGGAGCCTGCTTCTCCCTCTGACTCTGCCTGCTGCTCTACTTGTGCTCTCTCTCTCTCTCTCTGTGTCAAATAAATAAATAAAATCTTAAAAGAAACTGTTTAGCCTAATATAGAGGAGATGGTTACATACAGAAATATGTATAGGCATGTATATATCAAAGATATGTTCATACAATAATAGTACGCATATATTATTTCTTCACTCTGTCAGATGAGAAGGCCTAA